CTCTTTTCATTGCATAATATGGAATTAGTTGTGGTCCATTTGTCCGTTGTAACAATTTGCTATCCTGCAATCAGTTTTAAGTAATATAAGCCAATGACGTCTGACGTAATTGATATAGGCTGATACTACAGCTGAGTGAACTGTTAGTGAGTGATATTGAGTACTGATCACTACAACTCACTTAATTAAGATGTTTTTTTTTAAATCTTAGAAATTGATGAACTGTTTTTAAATTCTACTCAGCTGAGTGAACTGATTTTAAACTCTACTCAGTCAAGTAATAATTGAGGGTAAATTAGTGATCTGTTAGTGAGTGATGTTGAGTACTGATCACTACAACTCACTTAATTAAGATGTTTTTTTTAAATCTTAGAAATTGATGAACTGTTTTTAAATTCTACTCAGCTGAGTGAACTGATTTTAAACTCTACTCATTCAAGTAATAATTGAGGGTAAATTAGTGATCTGTTAGTGAGTGATGTTGAGTACTGATCACTACAACTCACTTAATTAAGATGTTTTTTTTAAATCTTAGAAATTGATGAACTGTTTTTAAATTCTACTCAGCTGAGTGAACTGATTTTAAACTCTACTCAGTCAAGTAATAATTGAGGGTAAATTAGTGATCTGTTAGTGAGTGATGTTGAGTACTGATCACTACAACTCACTTAATTAAGATGTATTTTAAAATCTTGGGAAATTGGTGAATTGTTTTTAAATCCTACTCAGCTGAGTGAACTTTTTTTAAACTCTACTCAGTCAAGTAATAATTGAGGGTAAATTAGTGATCTGTTAGTGAGTGATGTTGAGTACTGATCACTACAACTCACTTAATTAAGATGTTTTTTTTAAATCTTAGAAATTGATGAACTGTTTTTAAATTCTACTCAGCTGAGTGAACTGATTTTAAACTCTACTCAGTCAAGTAATAATTGAGGGTAAATTAGTGATCTGTTAGTGAGTGATGTTGAGTACTGATCACTACAACTCACTTAATTAAGATGTATTTTAAAATCTTGGGAAATTGGTGAACTGTTTTTAAATCCTACTCAGCTGAGTGAACTTTTTTTAAACTCTACTGAGTCAAGTAATAATTGAGGGTAAATTAGTGATCTGTTAGTGAGTGATGTTGAGTACTGATCACTACAACTCACTTAATTAAGATGTTTTTTTTTAAATCTTAGAAATTGATGAACTGTTTTTAAATTCCACCTCAGCTGAGTGAACTTTTTTTAAACTCTACTCAGTCAAGTAATAATTGAGGGTAAATTAGTGATCTGTTAGTGAGTGATGTTGAGTACTGATCACTACAACTCACTTAATTAAGATGTTTTTTTTTAAATCTTAGAAATTGATGAACTGTTTTTAAACTCTACTCAGCTGAGTGAACTGTTTTTAAACTCTACTCAGTCAAGTAATAATTGGGGGTAAATTAGTGATCTGTTAGTGAGTGATGTTGAGTACTGATCACTACAACTCACTTAATTAAGATGTTTTTTTTAAATCTTAGAAATTGATGAACTGTTTTTAAACTCTACTCAACTGAGTGAACTGTTTTTAAACACTACTCAGTCAAGTAATAATTGAGGGTAAATTAGTGATCTGTTAGTGAGTGATGTTGAGTACTGATCACTACAACTCACTTAATTAAGATGTATTTATAAATCTTAGAAGATTAGTAAACTCTACTCTGCTATGGGAATTGTTTTTAGAAATTTTCTTGAAAACATGTTATATGTTGTCATAACACATGGAGCTTAAAGGGATTGTAAAGAGGTTTTCTAAATTGTTATGTCTATCTGGGACATCAATTTGTACCATTCCAATTTTGAATCAGATATCCCTTTCAGTTGGGTTATTCTGAATAAGAATATATAAGAACACACATAAAATGATTGTGAAGTTGTTTTTATTGTTTGATGTATCTTATTATTATAAAAATGTAGGATATAATGAAATGAATAATGAGACATATTTACAGTATAAGTACAGAATGATTATTATATTATTTATATTAATTATATTCATCATGATTTCATGAATTCGTTTAAGCTTATAACAGCTCCATGATGCAATTTTCTTATGTGAATAAATAATGACATTGTCAGCAACAGGTAGCTTGATGAATCAAGGGTTGCAAATAGAAAACTCATATTGCCTTTCAAAAATCAGGATATATAATAACTGGCATTCATAACTTTACTACATTGCAAATAACAAATTATCAAAAATCAAAAGTTCATATAACTTTGTCTTTCATTTCTATGATGTTACATTGAGAGCACCTTAAAAGCACTCAAATAAATATTACAGTTGAATATTCACTATTGTAAGCTGCTGAAAGTGCTTAATTTACAGCCAAATGTATCACTTTTCAGAATGAACACATGACCTCTGGTTTGTCTTCAATTATACAGTTTCTACTATATAGCCTACATGCAGTTATGTTTCCACTGATGTTAAGTAATAATTGCATGTGAGAATGTCAAAATCGATCTAGAACTTTAGACTGTCATCACTTTAACCAGTATGCTTTTCCTTAATTGCAGACAAACTAAATGTCAGATTTTCTATCTGAAAAATGATATGGAAAGCTGAAGTTCAGTTTGGAAAGCAATTATCTTGACAACTAAATCATCTGTTGAATTTAAAAATGAAATTTCTCAACTTTAAAATAATTAATTTAGTTAAAATTAAATATTGTGAATAAGCTATCATTTAACTGAACATAATTAGATAATAAATAAATAAAGGTGAACATAGTAAAAAAAAAAATTAATAACATTCTAAAAATTAATATGTAGGCAAAAATATTTCATAAAAGCATTTACAAAATAAAACAAAAATATTTCATCCTCAATATTTTGACAATAATTTGATTTTTGGCTGTAAATTAACAAAATAAAATGTAATGAAATCCTATGAAAAGAAAATTTACTGTCCTCTAAACAAATTAAACAGCTTTTTGAATTTTTTTCCATTATTTTTCTGAGAATTGGAATTCCAATTTTCAGTCAAATGTCTGATTTCTTCCTTAAAAAATAACTGTTTGATGACGTCATTAATCCCTAAGTGTTTTATGTGATAAAGAAAATTTTGCAATTAGTGACATCATCGAACAGTTATTGGTTGTTGAATTGCAGGAACCATTAATTTGAATGGTGCAAATTGATGCTATCAGTGCCCTAGATACACATATAAAATTCAGAAAACGTCTTTATAATCCCTTTAAGTTTGATAAATAGTTTTTAAGTTAATATATGGAGGTCTTTTAACTCTCTCACCCAATTTTAATGTATACAAAACACAAACACAACAAATTCATAGCACATACAAAACAATTAGGCACTTATAAAAATTATTATTAGTCATTGTGAATGAATCAAGGCACAGATTCTATTCTTCAGCTTCCCCAGTTACTTTATGATTTTACCCCAAATCTTGGTTGAAAAATCAAACTTGCTTCCAATGAAGGTGCAACTATCATAGCAAATCCTTGAATTCACCTTATTTTTAGTGCAATAATGCCCAAATTCACATCATAATGATGACTTCAGTTTTAAGAACAAAGAAACAAATTTGACAATGCTATTGTGTGACCTTGTTTATTTTTTCACTAAAGAAAGCACCATTATAGGGAAGTTTCCACTCTATCTTCATTATCATTATTTAATGAGTCATTATTTGATTGAGCTGATGTTGATTGAGCAGTGGTGGTGACACTGTTAGCTCCACCTGCACTAGTTGATGCACTAGAAGCAACAGCAACACTTTCACTTTGTGACCTGGGTGAACTATTGTCTACTGATGGTTCTATCACTCTACCATTCACAGTAACGGTACTATCAGGAATGTTTGTCTGTGGAACCGTTGTCCTAGATTCACTGTTATTTGATATGTTATGCGTTGATTCGACTACAGTTCTTTGAGCACTATTATCTGGTCCAGCAAATGAAACATCTGCGGGGCCTGCGTCCATTGATTCAAACTCTTCACGTGGAATAGGTGGACGAGGATGGGATGATCCACGACGTGAGCGATAAGTTGGTGGACGTGAATCTGGAAAGTCTTCTTGATTAGGTGGGAATGTTATATGAATACCGGAATGAATAGTACTGGCACGTGAGCGATATGATGGGGGTGGGGAACTTGGAAGACTATAACTTTCATTGTTACTAGGGTTATTTTGTAGATACTGTTCTTGTTGTTGAGCTAAATATAGTTGTTGTTGATAATCCTGCATGGAAGCCGCATAAGTAGGTGGTGGACGTCTGTACTGAAATTCTGGATATAAAACCCCTACAATACACAATATAAATAGAATCAATTATTAAACTCTGGATCCAAAAATAATACATTCTGTTGTAAGTACATGAATATTTTCAAATACTAAACCCAGTTTGTCTTATTGTGGTGCATGATGGAGAGGTTGATTTGGATGCGATAAAAACAGTTAAAGAGTGTTACAAACTTATTCATTTGGGCACATTCACAACAATAACTGATCTTAATTATTTATTAAAATAAAGGTGTTCTTAATCAGGGGACCATGGATTTGGACATCAAGTGTTATTCTTTAATTGTTGTCAGGGTTAATTTTAATATACCGGTACCTTAAGAACCAATCTATGTCCCCTGCTTGAGATTGACCCTATCAGCATGACTTTCATGTACTGAACAATTAATATGGGAGATAACTGTGTTATAACTGTTAAAGATTAAATTAAACTTGTACATACCTCCATACCAATTGTTGTCCCTGCTTCTATGAGTCCTATGACGTCTTTGGTCCCTTCGTCGTTGAAAATCACCTACACCAAATAAGGCATGTAATGGTTCGTGACCTCTTGGAGTACATTTCCATCCAACTCCTACCACTATTACCAATAATACTCCCAAACCTGAATTACAAAAAGCGAAATCACATTAGACATTAAAGAACAATTTTTATGTTTGGACATAAAGTGATGCAATTTAGATGCATTTTTTTTGTACAACAGATGTACATGTAGTTTCCAACAGATTTGTATTGTTGTCAGCCTTTACAAGTTTAAAGTACCAGTATCCTCATAAATTAAATGCAAGAGTGCATAATATGAGAATTTCCACAAAAGGGATTCCCTCTCTTTAAATTGATAATAAACAAAAGTATGGGATTTCATTTGTTATAGGCTATAGATAATTTTGACTTCCATTAACTGTACATTTATCTCCTTGATGTCATTTGAATGCACTTGCAAATGTTTACATGTATTTTATGTAATAAATGTGCTAACATGCATGTTATGATGTCACGTTTCTATTAACTTCATGTCCATTTTATATGAAATTCAATCAAAATAATAACTGTATTGTTATAAAATAAATATTTTATGATTGAAAGTAGAGATTAGTGTAAAAGTATGATGAGAATTTTACATTGGCTTAACAAATAGTATCTAATACCATAATAATACAATGACCTCTATTATCATAGGATATTATTATTACTAAACAAAGCTCTTCTTTCATGTTAACCTATTTTCACTATGATATTGTTTTAAAAAGGGGAATTGTCCTCTTGTCATCAAAAAACTCCATGGTAATCCATAACACATTGAGCTTAAATAATAGCATCAATTTGCATCATTTCAATTTTCTAACAGACTTCTATTGTTCCTGCAATTTCACTACAACTATGTGTTTGATGACATCACTAATCACAACGGACCTTTTGTTATAAAGCATATTTCACCATTAGTGATGTCATCAAACTCTTAGTGTTAGTGGAATGAAACACAGATGTCTGATTTAAAATTTAATTAGTGAAAATTGATGCTGGCAATGTCCATGATACATATGCAAAATTTAGAAAACCTCTTTAAATTCCCTATAATAAAGACATTGGTTCAGAAATTGTGCATTCCTCAACAGAATTTGTGCTAACCACAACAATCCAAGCTTTAAACTGCAGCTGTTTTCAGTGGTCAGAAGGCTATCAAACATAACACCTGGTGCTCAATAACATTGGTTAAAAAATTTGGCATTCCTAATTATAATTTGAGCCAATCAGCAGATCATATGGAAAATCTCAGCCAATGAAGCAGGTCAGAGGGAACCTAATTTCCAATTAGCAAGCTCCATACTGGTGACAGTTTTCTAAGGTCAGAATGTCCAATAACCTTGAGATGTAACTTTTCCTTTTCATTTTAACGCTTTTGACCTAAATATATTGTGATATATCTTCAAATAAAGATAAAACATTACAACCTTGATATTAAAGGACAGAGAAGCAATAAATCAAAATAATGCATGTTTCATAATGATAAATCATTCATCATAATCAAAGAGAACAAAGGCAAAAGACACCATGTCTGCATCAAGCATCAAGATACCATATAATACATAAGCAAAATATATAAGTGTTATAGAAAATAAACAAGATGGTGTGTTGGGTAAAGATCACATTTTCACCTGATAATGTAGATTGGTGAAACGTTGTGTACAATGAAACTAAGGTGTAGTATACCATAAAATAGTCCGAAACACAGTTGTTGGCTGGGGTAGAGTCAGAAAAACTAGGCCCTGTGGATTTTCTACAGCTCCGAAGATGCTTTTCTTTTTTGTCTCTACAGACTCAATAACTATCTAAGCTATCAGAGGCAGAAATATAGGCATATGTTTCAGTCTAACCATAAAATTGTGACTACAGTAAACACGGTTTCTGAGACTAAGGTACGATTGGTCAAACGGATGGCAAACCTGTCCCTTTAAGTATGATTTTATTGAATAAATATATAAAACTGAACTCAGTGCATGAAGACTATGATTTGGTATTGTATGTATCTAATGGATTATATAACAATGTGTATAGTCTTATATTGGATTAGTCAGCTTGTTGTAAACATGTACATATCAAGACAGATCAACACTTCAATAATCTTTGTTAAACTATAGTCATTGAGTTTTAAAGGGATTGTAAAGAGGTTTTCTACATTTTTTTAAGTGTATTGTAGACATCATCAACTTTTTAAACAGACGCCTATGGTTCCTGCAATTCTGCTAAAACTAACTGTTTGTTGATGTCATTAATCGCAAAGGGCCATATGTGATGAAGCAAATTTTGCGATTTTTGCAACTAGTGACATCATAAAACACTTTTTTGAGGAAATGCTGACGTCTGATTAAAAATTGTACTGGTGCAAATTGATGCTATCAGTGTTCCCGATACACATAAAATTTTTTAAAAATCTCTTTAAAATCCCTTAAATGTAAATGAAAAATAAACACTATAAACATAGTCTATTGTTAAACTGACATATTGAAAATAATATTTCTTCCTAAAATCATCTTATTTGACAGATAAAAATAATATTGCTGTCATTTTGAAAAATATATTTGAAATTTATTTTTCTTATATAAGTTTAAATCTTATTATATAATAAGTTAAAGGCCACATCACAGATAGATCTAATGACGGCTTCAAAGACCAAAATAAGTAAGCTTCTAAGTTACAATCTGTCCTGGGCTAATAATGAATATTCAAAAAAAACTTGATGCACGTGGTATATCTTGAGTTAAAGTAAAGAAGCACATGGGGTTTATGATTTCTGACATTGCACAGGGTATAATGTCAGAAATATCCACATATATTATTTCTGGCACAAGATATAATGTCAGAAATATCCATATATATATATATATATATATACTATTTCTGGCATTGCACAAGATATAATGTCAGAAATATCCATATATATATATATATACTATTTCTGGCATTGCTCAAGATATAATGTCAGAAATATCCATATATATATATATATATACTATTTCTGGCATTGCACAAGATATAATGTCAGAAATATCCATTTATATATATATACTATTTCTGGCATTGCACAAGATATAATGTCAGAAATATCTATATATACTATTTCTGGCACAAGATACAATCTCAGAAATATCCATATATATATATATACTATTTCTGGCATTGCTCAAGATATAATGTCAGAAATATCCATTAATACTATTTCTGACATTGCACAAGGTATAATGTCAGAAATAGTATATCCATATAGCTTGCACTTCTATAACTATGTCTATTTCTACATGTCTTATAAGCAGTATATCTTGAGTTTAACAAGAACAAAATATAATTTGTTAGATTTATATAATTGCACGAAATTATGTTCAAATATTAAAGTCATGCTTTGAGTAAATCCTCTCCGGAAATATTGGTACTTGAATCCCAATAATCAGTCAAATTTCTTGATTTGATATAAAGAGTATTGAAGATGTTAAACCTAATAAATAGATTGGCCTCCAGGTCACTACAGGCATGATAATATAATGATTAAATTATCATCCAACAGTATTAAGTCCAAGAGTTATAGCCTGCAGTATTGACCTGATCTAGGTGTGGTTTAATATAAATCACTATTTTACTGATTATAAAGCCAATATGTCAAACTTATACTTTGATTTATTTTCTTCATGTTGCAGCAATAGTGCAAAAATTATATGTTAATTGTGTTCGAACTCCTCAGACTGCCAGACAGAGCTATAAAATACTCTCATTACTATGGATAATAAATAATGCCGGGAAGAGGGAAGAGGGAAGAGGGATGGGGGGTTGAATTATCAAGAGGGGCTCACAGGCTTTTTTCAAAATGTAAAAAAATATAAATTTGAAAGTTGGGGGTGACAGGAAAGCCCCCTTTGTGGCAACACTTTAAATATAGCAAAAACAATACTGTTCACAACTTCCTTGAGTGGCATTTAGTAATTGATGATATTAACACGAACACAATTATATGGATAACAATTACTTTAATAAATAACTTGCGACGTTTCGACTAGCACCCACAATACCTCTGGCACCAAAAGGATGTGTCTACAGAATCACGTGCTCCTGCAATGAAGAATATGTTGGAGAAACAAGACGCCCTCTCAATCTCAGAACGCAAGAACACCTATCCCTAGCACCTACCCAAACATCCGCAGTTTCTGAACACATCAAAAACAACCGACGACACAAAATTGGCAATATCGAAGCCCTTACTAAACACCAAACCAACAAGAAAACGAGACAATTGACCGAAGCCATCCACATAAGGAGATACCAACCGCAACTCAACAGAGATACAGGTGTTTATTTATCACATGCCTATGACCCTTTAATTAAATAAAATAACCCCACCCCAAATTTTGTATTTAGATTGTCACCAGCATCTTACTAGTTTTCTATGTTTTATTTATCATCACATGTACGATTAAAATCACCACCACCCCACCATTATAATCAAGAAATAATTTACTACATCCCCTTTAATGGTTTCTCTAATCACACACCCTTGTGATTACCCCTACATAATTGATTAATGTATTCCTATTGTTTTAATCCCTGTTATTGTTGCCCCACACTATATATCCTGAATGCCTTGTTATTTTGTATCATTGCTTGATAATGACGAAAGAATCATCGTCGAAACGTCGCAAGTTATTTATTAAAGTAATTGTTATCCATATAATTGTGTTCGTGTTAATACTGTTCACAAGAGATGTTTAGGTGATCAACCAAATACAGAAGGATATCAAGCGTTCTACAGGAAGATGCTTCAGGTGTCTCAAACATAATATTATGTCACTCCATGGTGATGCTGATTCTGCAGGTGTATCAAACACATAATTATGTCACCATCATTAATTAATATAGTTTAACAATAAGTGAACATTGACAAATTACTCTTCACAATGGATGGTGAATAGATCAACAAGATACAGAAGGGTCTTACATAGAGATGCAGGTGTCTCAAACATAATATCATGTCATGGGATCCAGACTTATTGCATAACTAATAAACCATCATTAATTTTTACAAGTTCACACCAAGTCTTCATGTTGACAAGTAAGAGATTATATTAAATAAATAATTATAATAACTCTGAATGAAGAGCTTGACTCTGTATCCCCAGGGTGTTACAATATCATACAAACATGACTTTTTGACCTGACATGAACCTTTATCATAGGATAAACATGTCACTTATCATGTACCTTATCATTTTGCTATGCAGAGAATGAACTATCATAATGAGATACTGAATGGCTAATTTAATCCTTATACTTTAGTCCCTGGAGCAAATCACAACGAGAAAATGATGCCCTTTCAAGAAAATAAAATTCACAAACAGTTTTATCACTTGATGGTTTGTTAAAGAATTCAGCCATTCCTGATTGAAGATGATCTCTCATTTGACAAGATAATTCAAATAGATGCAAATAACCCATTTAACATCGCACATCATAGAGTAAAGTACAGTCAAATAACCCCTATTTGGTAACCTATGAATTAGACTTGAAAATCTGCCTCTATTTCAGTCTCTGATAGTTATTTGGACAGTTGTCGGCTGGTGTAAACACAGCAAAACTAGGTCCTGTTTTATGGGGATTTCTCCGAACTTCCAAAGATGCAGGGGTTTTAATCCTCAAAACCCTGATATATTCAGATAGATATTTTTGTAGTTCAATCATTCCATCATTATGCCCCAAATCCATATCAACAAAAGGAAAGAAACAGTGATGCTCAACACTTATTTTCAGTCATCATAAAGGTAATTTAATATATATGTTAATCTTCTCAAGCCCACTACTGTCTAAATAGCTCTAGTAGAGACAGAAAACTCGGACTTCCTATAAATCTGTTACAATTTTTTTCAAAATTCAATGTTTTCAATGTTTGGTGTATTGTGTGCAAACATAATATTGTATTGATTAATCATGAATATTCATTTTCTATTCAACGCACTAGACTTAAGTACTTAAAGGGACATTCCGCTTTTTTAAAGGTCGTCAGAATTTTTTTTTACTCAAATTTGTGAAAACTATACACCAAAATCTACAGAAATGTGTCCTTTAACGTATCTGAAAGTTTCAACTAAAAATAATGTACAAACATTATGTAAGGTTTATAAGTTTGTTATGCTTTTTGGAGGCAAAAACTGTACGGATTTGAGTAAAATAAAGGCCTAATTGTATAGAAATATGTCTCCTTCGTATTCTAAAGGTTTCAACTGATAATATGGAGCCGTTATAAAGCCAAACACTAGAACTAACTCAAACTGCTTAATTAACAATTAATACCCCTTTAAATATTTTTTTCAATAAACTTTCAATATAGGCCATTGTAGATTTTGATTTATGGACACCAAACACAATGTATATAATTGCAATCTAAATTTGACATGTCAAAGTGATTTTGTCTATCAAAATAATCTCTAACAAATGATTCACTAGTCTAATGCAAGAATTTTGAAAGTTGTATTGAGTAAAAGGAAATTACCTCTTAGAATGGACATAAAATTAAAGTCTCAAACTTGGAAATCAAATGTATATATTCATCAGTTAGACTTACCAGGTAATATGACTAAAGAATAGAATCTCTATATAAGACAATATATCTATTTAACTAAATAATTATTGAAACACGATTTTAAGCATGTTTCAAAATTACTTAGTTTAATTAATTATTGCTTATTGATTTATTGGATTATAGAGGGATTCTGTTGTATAGTTATGACTCTAGGTAAGTCCACTGATGGACAAAGGCTCATTTTAACAAAGTTCTATAATTTCAGTATTTTGGTCATCCTAAGAGGTAGTATACCTTTAAGTATTTGCTAGTTGACTTGATATTGAATAGCATGAGTTATATATTCAATAGAGTATATGTATAGATGTAATGCTAAAATAAACATGCTAATAAATCATACTATTGACACCTTCTTTGACAAATATGGGTGTAATATACATTTTTAATGGTATTCACAAGTAAAATAGAAATCTTTTATGAGTTTAATGATGAAAATATTTTCTACTATTAAGAAAAAGAGTTTGGGTAACTAAAATTAGGAATTCAATAAATGCAATAAAAGTGCTTTGACTTAATTAATGTCCAACTGTCTGGGATCTTCACAGTCTTGTTAAAATTAGACCAAACTTTAGTTTCATTTTTTCAGCTTTTGTTTTAAATTAATAAACAAAAGGTGTATTCTGTCTGAGAAGTATATGACTAATTTATCAACTGAATGCACCTTTTTTTCATGTCAGAAAATCCCAGAGTTGGACAGGGCAGAAATATAATTGGCTAGCAGTTTCATCAAAAGGCACAACGTTAGACCCTAACTTGAGGGCTAAATTAAAAATAAAAGCTAATAAAAAAACAGAAGGAAAGTTTGGTTTAATTGAGCATGTATACAATCTGCAACACAAATGTCTGCCCCTCTAACTTGCATCAATGACAAACAGAAACCAGAATGACAACCCACCTTAGCATGAAAATCCTTTTTAAGCCATTAAAGATTCTTGAATCTAGAAAAATACAAGTTTTTAATAGAAAGACTGTAGTAAGATCTACCTGTATTAACATTTTTTAATGTAGTAGATGCCAAATCATTCTTGAAACTTGGCAGTTGATGTCATTACTTTGTGTTTAGTGTTTCAACAGGAAAGACTATAAAACCTTTTTTTATAGACAAGCTCACAGAGAGAAAATAACAAACACAACCTATCATCCTTTATTGTCACACATTGTCTTGTCTATTTACCTATACACTCTATTGTTTTTATACACACCTAAAATATCCTCAACATATCTGACATTTTGCAAATACTGTACAGGATGTACATGTATGCACCAAAGGACATTGGTTTTTGGTCACACACATTATATAAAGCTAATAGAATGTCATAATAGTCATGGTGTTTTATCTACAAACACAGGTTTTAAAGCAGATCTGGTTGTTTTGTGTGTTTACTGTGGGTGCCTTCACTCGTCGCGCATCATCTGAGGAAATTGTGATGTATTGGGTTTTAGGTCAACAAAATATTCTAACCAATCAAATGCTATTTTCAATAAAACCTTTGCCTACCATATTTAGAAAATGGATATTCATTGTTCAGCTTTGAACAGTAATTTTGGTTACAAAAATTATGACACTAATCGAGTCATACATAGAGTAAAGTAATTGAATCCAATCAGCATGGCCAATAATCAGGCACTGAACATCCAGCCATTTCTAAAGCCATTTGACAGAACTCCTTGCTACTAAAATTATTGCTATTCTCCAGTACTTTCATCATATTTGTACCTTGACTCTTTGAACACTGAGTTAATAAAATAAACTGTCAAATACCCTAAACCCCAGTCAGCCCCGTCGCCAGGAATAAATTAGTGCTAGGGCTCAGATTTTGTAATTTCAAGAATAAAAGGCCCAGAGAACTCATTTCTGACCATTTTGAGGTGCTGAAAATGTATCTAAAACTATATCTTTTTGATTTTTTAAAATGAATCAATCTCTTTTGAACTGAAGATGGTTTTGTTGAGGCTTAATTCTCACTTGTTGGGGCCCAGCCACCATGGATCCCAACCTAACAACGGGGCTATGTAAATTATAGTAAATTCAATAGAGTAAGACAATGTTAAATGTAGTAGTCTAGTTTCCATATCAATTAAAAAAACTTTGAAATGAAATGCAAACCACTAAATATAGAATGTGTATTTGTATGTCATTTCCTTGAAAAAGAACGCCATATCCTGAAGTACCTATCATGTATATTGAATTTTACTATGTTACCAGGTTACTATATTATATCCTACAGAATGTGGGAAAGTAGAAGACTGTAGAAAATAGTAGTGGATATTTGAAATAGAACAAGTAAATTAACTATAAAACACATGAAGCTGTTATATTAACTAAAACTTCTTCTACCTCTCTTGCAATTCAACAAAACCTATGAGACTCAATGGGGGGACAGTTGGGGCTGAATTTAAAATGCATCAACTCTGTGGAGGCGTCATAATCACAAGCCTCTCCTCGAACATTTCTGAGAGGGTTCTCCAAAAAAATATCTGAAAAAAGAATTGGTGTATTCTGACACATATTTTGGGGCAAAAATAATAAATAAATAATTATTTTAAATTTGTATAAAATAAGGTGGGGGTACAATTGGGGGTGTAAACCGTTTTTAGGTGGGCAAATGCTTCAAAATAATTCAAATATGGTCAAGAAAATACTCTCAAAAACACATTAACCTGAAAATGACCACAAATATTCACCAGTGACCTGAAGTATATATATTAGATGATAGCACTACATATCACATTGAGACTAAATGGGGGTGACACAGGGAGTAAAGGTAATAAATAAGGTAGTGTGTGTCTTGATAAGATGATAGAATTTCTTATTAACAACTGAATGTTATAGAGAAGAGTAAACAAATTGTCTACTAACAAACGACACATTGAGGTCAAGTAGAGACAATGATGGCTATTTAAACACTAGTAAAAACAAGAGTATGAATCTAACAGGTACCACTTGACCATGTACATCCATCATTATGTCAGTCACTTTCTCTCTATGTACACATAGCCTAGTCCTCAAATCTTTGGTGATATGGTGTTGGTGTCGTTTCTCAGGGAACTACAAATGAAATTACATATTCATAGCTAAATATTTTCCAATCAAAATTGGCCCTGAAAACTTTCTAGTAAAATTTCAGCCAACCAAATCACTCGTTATGAAACTGTCTTCGCGAATGTAAACAAAATGAGAGCAGTGTGTCATTCAATGATTTGATTAATATGGATGGTACAGAATTTGGTAAGGTTGTCGTTGGAATACTTATTTGGAAAGTAAGTGTTCTCACCTCAAACAGGTGGCAGCATTGGCAGCAAATCAATTTTGTGTTTCGTTCACATGACCTTAACTATGATCTGATTGGTCATTTAAATAGCACCAATCTCATTTCTACGCCCAGAAAATGAAACATAGCAAAGTTAGTTTAATACAGGTTAATAAGACAATGTCAAAACCTGTATTTGGGATACTATTGGTATGAGCCCTGCTATCTATATCACTGAATAGAATCAAAATTTTACTTTCAGTTCTCATACAATTTAGTGATTACAGTCTGTTCTTGGCTAATTTTCAAACAAGTATATCCAATGCAATGGTGAAGGTTGAAGTTTCCTTTTTTGAGGGTCATCAACCTTTATTCAAATTACTGGTGTAAATAAACCATTAAGTAGATATTTACATTAATCAGTCTTAAAAGAAAAGAAAACCTAGTGGGCAATTAAAGAAAACACTTGCTTGACCTGCGGCACATTTTTATCTCATACATAAAACTATTATAGCCTACATAAATGTGAGTAGCATATCCTTGACAGTAACTAAAACAAACCTTAAAGTCTCTAGGATATGTAATTATATTATTATGTCTGTGTTTTTCTTTATGTAGATTATCCTTAGTTTGAATAACAACCTGGGTATTATTAACTTTAGTTGGTATTGGCAGATACAGGACCTACATATGTAATCTTTACAAAATTGAAAACGTGCATTATCTCATAGCTATTGCTTACATCCTGAAAGAAAGAACAATCCTTCCAACTTCCATTGGTAACTTTTCAGAAAACTGTAAATTATTTGACATGAACTTTTTTTGTTGTGATCAAGTCAGCCATGGGTAAGATCTCATCTGGACAACTTGAACTACCTGCAGATCTTGTCTTACAAAACAGTTGGGCATAACAAAACACTCCATTTTATTTCTCGGGAATACACTGTAATGTCTAAACCAGTTCTTATTTATATAGGGAAAAGTTGAATTTAATTCAACTTCGTTTACAATATATATGTTTGTCAACCCAACAAAAGTGACACCATCATTCACAGCCATGCTAAACCTGTTTTAAACTTAGCTTGTCACCCAAGCAACTCATAAATTTACTTCTGTAAACAAACCAGCATTGTTCAAATCTTCCAACATCTGAACAACCAGACACTGTTTAAAATTAAGCTGACCACTTAATTTTGTCATGATCCTTTTAAAGTTAAGGAATTCATTTTGATATATCTGGACACCTGCAAAAATGTTTCAATTAAGGTACTGTTAAAATAGTGCTCAATACATCAATTGTAGAGTGATATAGAAATATTAAAACCACTGTTAAAAGAGTGCTCAATACATCAATTGTAGAGTGATATAGAAATATTAAAACCACTGTTAAAATAGTGCTCAATACATCAATTGTAGAGTGATATAGAAATATTAAAACCACTGTTAAAAGAGTGCTCAATACATCAATTGTAGAGTGATATAGAAATATTAAAACCACTGTTAAAATAGTGCTCAATACATCAATTGTAGAGTGATATAGAAATATTAAAACCACTGTTAAAAGAGTGCTCAATACATCAATTGTAGAGCGATATAGAAGTATTAAAACCACTGTTAAAATAGTGCTCAATACATCAATTGTAGAGTGATTTAGATATATTAAAACCACTGTTAAAATAGTGCTCAATACATCAATTGTAGAGAGATATAGAAATATTAAAACCACTGTTAAAATAGTGCTCAATACATCAATTGTAAAGCTATATAGAAATATCAAAACCACTGTTAAAATAAATCTCAATACATCAATTGTAGAACTATATAGAAATATCAAAACCACTGTTAAAATAGTGCTTTATACATTAATTGTAGAGCGAAATAGAAATACCAGTGTTAAAATAATGCTCAATACATCAATTGTAGAGTGATATAGAAATATTAAAACCACTGTTAAAATAGAGCTCAATACATCAATTGTAGAGCTATATAGAAATATTAAAATCACTGTTAAAATAATGCTCAATACATCAATTGTAGAGTGATATAGAAATATCAAAACCACTGTTAAAATAGTGCTCAATACATCAATTGTAGAGTGATATAGAAATACTAAAACCACTGTTAAAATAGTGCTCAATACATCAATTGTAGAGTGATATAGAAATATTAAAACCACTGTTAAAATAAATCTCAATACATCAATTGTAGAGAGATATAGACCTATTAAAACCACTGTTAAAATAGAGCTCAATACATCAATTGTAGAGCTGATATAGAAATACTAAAACCACTGTTAAAATAAATCTCAATACATCAATTGTAGAGTGATATAGAAATATCAAAACCACTGTTAAAATAGTGCTCAATACATCAATTGTAGAGTGATATAGAAATATTAAAACCACTGTTAAAATAGTGCTCAATACATCAATTGTAGAGTGATATAGAAATATTAAAACCACTGTTAAAATAGTGCTCAATACATCAATTGTAGAGCAAAATAGAAATGTTTCATTGGCACTTTTATGCAGTCAGTATCAGAATAATTCCTTCTGTTGGAAGATTTGTTCTTATTTCTCAGGAGTGTTCATTAGAATTTATCTCCAAACCTCTCCCTTTATCAAGAAAGCTATATGTCAAATATTGATATTGGCCAAACTCCACCACCACCCCAAAATCAAGTTTTATTGTGAAAAGCTTAGCAATAACCTGTATCCTAGAGGCAAATAGTCCAGACAGACTGAGCACCAGTAAAACACACTTAATAAATCTATCATATATAAAGATTAAAAAATAATCACTTCCTCCACATCAAAGATAACAATTAATTAACTTTATTTGATTTGGTTATTGTTAACCTTTGACCTGTCTCACCTGTAATTAAAGTACTACAGACCACTTGATCATTCTGTCAATGTTACATCATCTAATGTAATTTTAATACCTCTTTAATAAACATTATATTTATTCTGTCTGTGTGTTTATTGATATGTATTGTCTTACTCTTAAGTTATTAAAGGGGTAGTATTTGCAAGCTGCAAAATAATGGATAAAATTCTGTTTACTTTCAAAAAAACCAAAAGGCCAAAAAATATCGGAACAGTACAGAAAATATGCTTTCCAAACTTTGATTCAGGTCAGAGCAAATGGTAGGTAAATGAGATGAGCACTGAATTTAGCATGAATGTTCCTTAAGAAGTACCTGAATAAAACATCGTTAGCCATTTGGATTTCGGCTATTTTCCAAAATGGCTGCCACTATATACAAATGGCTGCCACAAAAACAAAATGGAGACATTTCGCTTCAAATAATCAAATTTAAAAAAATGAAATATTTTGATAAATCCTACGTGTCACTAATACACATTACTAGGTGAAAATAGATCAAATTACCATCTTAATTGGGGGATTAATTAATCGTCAATGTAAATATTATCACGGGTTGAGATTAACGTGTGATATATATTTGGTTGATTTATGGTAGAGAAAAACGGTAGATCCAACAAAAATTTGGTTAGGAAAACAAAAAAAAATTGGTAGAATTGGGCATCTTGTGGATCTCGTGGACAACATGCAAAAGCTTTAGAAATCTGACAACATCGGTAGATTACACATGTGTCTAAATGATAAGTGAATAAAATATGTGACAAGTTTATTGTGCCTATAAAGATTGACAGAAGTGCCCTAGATAAGATGGTTATACAACTAACGTCCCCAAGGTATAGAAGTGTGCACTGTCAATGATAACTAAGCTATCAGAGAGATTAATCAATGATAACTCACCTATCAGAGAGATTAAGGGTTACTTGGTGTCAAGTTCAAGTCATAATTGATAACTGATAAAGAGTCAGTTTCCCTGGTTACTTGTCAAAGGGTATTTATCTTTTAAAATTTACACATTAGCATCTCTTCCTTGTTCAATTGAAATTTTCACATGCTTCATAAATTCATTTGTTTAAGTTGTCATTTACTCTTAATACCAAATTAAATGTGAAAGTATTTTATTCTATCGTCAAGACTACTTCATCATGTGAAATGATTTGATTCATCTGATGAAGTCGTACAACGAAAGCTCATAAAATAAAATACTTTATAGTCACTCTTAAAAGGTGTCTTCTTACTTCTTTTATTAAAGAACAACATAGAGTGATACAGCATTACATTACATTCTACCAAATTTAAATGTTCCGAAAATTCTTCTGAAAACAATTGTCAAAGGAAGAGGCATGAATAGAGCTGAAAAATTGTTGTAAATTATATTTACATCTAATATCCCATGAATGTGCCACCATGAATGAAAATTTAGCAATGACAGTGGCAATAGCTGAAGATTTTTAAGCAGAATGAAAGCCTAGAACTATTCTTAATACTAAACTTGTCATGTAAATTAGGTTATAATGATCTATATTTGTCAACAAAGAGGCACTAGTTTTGTTGTACTAGGTATATGTGGGTCAAAGTTACAATATTTACCCTAGATAACATGTACATATTCATATCAAATGGGTAATGACTTAATATAAACACATATAATCCTACTATACCATACAATGATATCTGTTTCTATTTACAATCTTCTTAATACCATAAATCTTTATTTATGCTTATCAAATAGGTCAATGGCATTATATCATATGTTTGAGTAACAGTCAACCAAAATAAATCATGGCCACTTAAGATCCCCTATTCTGCTACCCAATGCAATGAAGTACCAGTACTGAATATAAAACTTATTGTTAAAGGTATACTATCTCTTAGGATGACCAAAAAATTGAAACTGAATTGAATTTTGAAACTTATGCTTTAAAGAAGCATATTTCAATAATTATTAAGTTTGATTGATATAATCGTCTTATATAGAGATTCTATTCTTTAGTCATGACATCTGGCAACTCTAACTGATGAATATATACACTTGTTGACCAAGTTTGAGACTTTAAATTTTATGTCTATTCTAAGAGGAAGTATTCCTTTAATAGAATCATCCAATGTCTGACTGAAGTTACACAACTAAAACCACATTTGAATGTGCAATTGAATGTTGATCATTTTTAGAAAACAATAATTGATCAAAATTATGCGCATTAATGTATATAAAAAAAACAGAGAATTATCAAGCCAAATCATTGCTATTATTCTACTTCCAATTTGATGGTTGACATTTTGAATTTGAAGTGACATTGTAAGAATCATTTTGAAAATTTAAATATTCATAAAAAATGTCTTCTATAGGCCCTATCATGTTTATATAGGTAGGGCCTATTATAGGTGCATCACATATGCAATTCAGGTTCATGGAAAGGGTTTGGTTTCAAATTATCGTAACACCTTTTAAAGATGGATTTCCTTATTTTTAGTGTCAAATTAAGCAAACTATTTGATAAAGTGGTGTTTCTAATAAATTATCAGTATTCTTAATGGTATCATTATGTTTTTATTGCATATAATTACGAGTTTTAAACAATGATAAATGTCCATGTATGTACAGTCTGGATAATAAACAAAAAAAGACATTTTGACCTTTCTTGATTGGTCACTCATTGGAATTCTATTGGTAATTCTTTTCTAATTTAGCTTATTATGAATTCATTATGGACATGTGAGACAAACCGGTATTTTTCCTAGTCATTAGAACACCTCTACTTTCTATTCATATAAGTATTAGCATTTTCATAAATGAAAATAAGGGAAGCCATCTTTAAGAACATTTCGAATCAATGTGACACATTTTGTATAGAGAGATACAAATATAACTGTACTGAAAGTGTTGGGGATGACCAGGTTTGAAAGTGGTCAGTATCTTTAATATTGACACAAGGACCTGGAATACAATAATCAATCTTATCATAGTAAATCACTTTCCCCTCCTAGACAAACACAATACTAGCTTCACTCAACCCAAAACTAGACCATAAACTAAGTCACTTTAGGTAAACACATTTCATGGTCAGAAAACAATGTCTTTCAAAGTTAAAGAGACTTTGACCAATAGATTTGTTTTCATTATAAAAGTACTAATTAGAATCTTGCCAAGGTAATTCAAAGGTTCGACTTTTCAT